TAATGATTAGCATATAATGTATTCTTAAGAGAAGGTTACTTGAAACTTCTCCAAAATCTGCAGATATCTTAAAGGCTATTAATAAAGGGTCAGCAGGAAGCACTCAATGTATAAAAAGCACACAGAGGATCAAACAGTTCTCTTTCTATTGAAAGTTTTAAATTATGGTTTCATTAAGCCATTTGCATTCAGGAGCAATGCAGGTAAACAAAGAAAACATTATTATTTCAAGTACACACTGTTCAGCTTTTCCCAAGTACCTGAGGCAGCAGCAGCAAATATAAATCATGATTCTTCCATCTCAGTTTATTGCACCAGCAGTCTTTCAAAAAGAGACACTGACAGAACACTCAGTGAAGGGGAAAAGGTGATTAACTCTACTTTAAATTTGTTTAGGAGTATGCTAAGATTGCCTGCAGCAAGACACACCCCTGTGGTCACCCCTGTGGAGGTGTGAAGAATGAAGAGCACTGCTTGCCGTGCCTGCATGGCTGTGATAAAAATGCTACAACTCTTAAACAAGATGCTGATGACATGTGCATGATTTGCTTTACTGAAGCACTTTCAGCAGCACCAGCTATCCAGGTTGGTTGGTTGGTTGGTTGTTTCCCCTTTTAAGAGATTACTATTATGACTGTAATGTGTAGTATGAAAGAAGTGAAAATATAGTCTCTCAAATTATGCTCTTCAAAATTTGTAAACAGGCATCATAACAATAATTAAGCTACTTAAAAACTTTATTTTTGTTTGGCATTCTATGTCAAAAAAGCAGATTGCATAAATTTAGTTTGCTATGTCTACCTTATTAAAATACATGATATTTTATAAAGGAGAAAAACAGCTGAGGTAATTAGTGGATATAATTCACATGTATTTCATATGTCTGTAGGGGATCTTGGAGTGGTTATGATTTTAATGCCCATTCTGTGTTCTTTCTTGTTGTTAAGAAGAAAACAGGGGGTCTTCTAGGATTTTAAATAAATTAATATTGTAATTTATATAGTTTCCACTTAAAAGCAAATAACTACTTCTACTTTAGTGGTTAATGTAACTTCAATATTCACTTACTCTTTTCTAAAGCTGGACTGCAGCCATGTTTTCCATTTGCAATGCTGTCAACGAGTACTAGAAAACAGATGGCTTGGGCCAAGGATAACTTTCGGGTTTATGTCCTGCCCAATTTGCAAGGTAAATGAGCTGTGTGCCTGCCAGAGTCAAGCAACTTACCTGATACTTGGCTTTTCCTTTTTTTTTTTAATACTATATTGATTGTTACACTATAAATGAGTTATACATTATTCGTTTTCTTAATTCCACATGTTGCTATAGAAAGCATTGATGCATCTTTTTACCTTCTCCTGCTGTTCCTTGAGGTGTCCTCTTAAAAAGAAAGCATAGTCCAGACATTGTCTTAATATTGTTTTATTCTTACCACCATCAGCTTGCAAATAGCCAGTACTTGGTGATGGTGGGGAGGGGAATAAGTAATCTTAAAGCACACACACTATCTTGAAGCACAGGTTCTCCATTTTACTAAGCACTTTTAAAGCTGCTTTGCTTTTCAGTGTGAGGGCAGAGCCAAAGAACACATGTACTTAGTTCAGCTAAGTTACTAACAATTCCTCTTGTACTCTGTAAAATTTAAATTGATGTAAGCAAAAACATATGATAGCTGCTGGAAAGAAGGGCACTTTACCCCACCCTAGGAATTTGACAATTGGGAATGGTCAGCCATTCTGCATGCTATGGTTCTTCTGTCATGTTGTGCTAATTTACGGCAGTAGCTCGTGGTCACTAATTGATAAAGAGCTGCCATAGAGTGATAGTGACTGTCAGTCACTATACTGAACTGCTGAGTAGTAGGCCAAAAAGGACCAAAATTACAGAATATACACAATCAGAATAGAATATTCTTGTGCTGTGGTGAATATTTCATATGCTCTTCACCACCTCCCTGGCTGTTAGTCTGTTGGAAGGGTTGATGCTCCCATACTGCAATAGGCCATAGAAAAAGCATTCAGAGGTACTATTTTTTGCAGCAAATAGCATGCATCCTGTATCAGCCATTTTCTTAAATGTCTATTGCCCAGGCCCATGTGGTTTTATGACATCTATCATGCTATTTGTGCCTGACCATAACAAAATTATCATAGCTGTGGGATGAAGATGCAAGATACTTTAATTACATTTTTTTTTAATTTCAGAACAAAATCAATCACACAGTATTAAAGGATTTGCTTGATCCAATCAAAGAACTCTATGAAGATGTAAGGAGAAAAGCGCTAATGAGATTGGAGTATGAAGGTTTGCACAAGAGTGAGGCCATCACAACACCAGGTGTTAGATTTTATAATGACCCAGCAGGCTATGCTATGAACAGATATGCTTATTATGTTTGCTACAAGTGCAAAAAGGTATGGTGTTTCTTATTAAATGCATGTTGCAGTTTCAAAAGTAATTTCTTAGAACATACTTTTAATATTTTGTGTATGGAGTAGAAAAGCGGGAAAAAACGTTGTGTATAGAATCATAATGTAAAATAATCGAGTGTTGGGCTAATGAGATGTACATAGTATCTTAGCTAGTAAAGCTCAAGTGTGCATACAGAGCAGCTCAGAAACCAAAAGCACCTTGGGACAATGGCCACCTACAAACAGGTGCAGTACCTACTTCCTCCTATTCAGCTCAAGCTGCTACTTAATTCTGAGAGAGCATCCAAATACTGTTCCAAAAGCCTTGCAGTCACTTATATAGAGCAGGGTATGTTGCAGTTTTTGGTCTTGTCCATCCTGAGACTGAAGGACATTGAGTGCCTTCAAACCACATACCTACAGACAGAGTTGAGAGAGATCAGAATAGTGGAGGTCACTGAAATGGCATTCATTCATCATATTCCCCTTACAAATTGGTTAAACTGAAAAGAATAGTTAAAAGAATAATTGCCTCTGGTTTAACATCTAGTCATTTCTATATGCAATTAAGGCATATTTTGGTGGTGAAGCTCGTTGTGATGCTGAGGCTGGACAAGGAGATGATTATGATCCAAGAGAGCTTATTTGTGGTGCATGTTCTGATGTTTCAAGGGCTCAGGTGAGTAAATAATTTCTGTTAATGTTTTTATTTCATTCTAAAACTCCTGAGAATCTGAGCTGTACAATAATTCAGGCATTTGTAATTATTGTATTGTACAATATTGTTAATATGTTCTACAGAATGTGGGAGTGATTTGGATTATTACTGGCGACTTCATTGACCAGTGTTTGCTTTCCTTTGTTCAGATGTGTCCCAAACACGGTACAGATTTCTTAGAATACAAATGCCGCTACTGCTGTTCAGTTGCTGTTTTTTTCTGTTTTGGGACAACGCATTTTTGCAATGCTTGCCATGATGATTTCCAAAGAATGACAAGCATCCCTAAAGAAGAGCTCCCACACTGTCCTGCAGGTAGGACTTTGACAAAGCAAATTTACCACACTGAATTCTGAAATAAGTAACAAGTTCTAATTAATATTAGCTTTTCTTGGTGATCTGTTTTGTTTTCTGTCAATGCAATTGCACAGATCATTTAAACATTAGCAACTTTTACACACTTTCAAGTGATGTATCTGTACTTAGGTAGCCATTACCTGCAAACCGTTACCCCAATGCATTAGTTGCTAAGTTCATGTGCTGTACATTGATTTGATATTGGGAAATGATTGGTGATCTTTTTGTTAAGATATTTACATAAAATAAGTAAAAAAATTACAATTCCTACTATAACCTTAGAATTATTGTTTACTGCAGAATGTAACTCTTGTTCGTCATTATCAATTTTTCTCTTACTTTGTGTGAATTTCTCCCACCGTGTTAATGAGATAAAACTTCCTTAAGAGGCTATCTATAAGCATCTTGCCTTTTTTAATTTGAATTTGATTGGTTTCAATTACATGGCAGTTTGATCTTTTTTTTTTTCCTCTTCAAATACCAATTCAACATTTGAACAAGATGTATTACTTCTACTTAGTTTGGTTTTATTTTTTGAGGAAATGTAATATATGTTTGTTTGCATTGTCTGCAACTATTAATCTATTATTTCCTTTTTTCCCCTCATCCTTAAATTCACTGTAGGTCCCAAAGGTAAACAACTTGAAGGAACAGAATGTCCACTTCATGTTGTCCATCCACCCACTGGTGAAGAATTTGCTCTGGGTTGTGGGGTTTGCAGAAATGCTCACACTTTTTAGACTAGCATTTTTTTTTTAACCAGAGCAAAACAGGTGCCCTCATCCCTCAAGTGTCCTGAAAACAAAGCCCAGCTGGGATGAGGATGGGACCATTCTATAACCCAGGTAAAAGGAACAAATTACAGTGCAAGAAGGATGCCAAATACCATGTACATAATTCTTGCTGTGAGATATTGACATTTTTTGAACCGAGACATCAAAATTTGTGAGGTGTTTGCATGTGGCCATTACAGTCATCGGCTAGGAAACATTGGACATTTACAAATAAACAATTGTTATTAAAGGATCTGTGTGTCTGTGGACTATGAATGATGCTGGCTTTCAGGAGACAGAAAAAAATATTGATTATTGTATACTGACTTTTTGTAATCTTGTACAATTGTAACGCATCACAAGTGGGGATGGGAAAGAGGAATATTCTGGTTTATTTCCTAGACTGTTATAAAAAAATGTGTTAGGAAGGCATAAATGTAACAAGTATCACACTGTATATAAAGGTATCAATGTTTGTCCTGTATAAGAAATATTAAATTACAACAGCAGTTTCATTTAAACTTCTGGGTTATGTTTGAGCCTGAAATTTTAATGAAGTGCAATACTGAGTGTGCCTCATATCTTGCAGCTGTAAACATAATGGAATGTACATGTCAATAAAGCCACTGTACATTTTTATACAGTGAAAGTCTAACAAATGTGTAAGTCTCCATTTTCAGAAACACTTTTAAAACAGAGTGGGAGGGGAGGGAAGGGGGAGAAGTGCCCTTTAATTATTTAAGCAGACTCTTGAAAAGTAGGAAAGTTTTTTGGGTACACTGGTTATGGAAGTACTTAAATGAAAAGCACTCCTCCATTTCTCAACAGAAAAGTTGGATAAGTGTGTTAGCATTCATATGAAGAATTATTGTATTTACATTTCAATTACAAACAATGTTTTCAAACAAAAAGAAGACTGCATTTTAAATTATTTTTGCTCAGTGTTATTTTACCAAAGACTTAATCACTCCCATTTTTAGGACTAAAAGCTTTTTGAATTTCAAAATGTTCACTTCATAAGAGTCCTAAGTCAGCTGCATAAAGAATGCAAAATATAACTTCAAGTAAAAACAACTTTCTGTATGATTTTCTCTTCAGATTTTTTTCTTAGATGTATTCAACTCCCTTTCTAGCATTTCTGTCTTGAAGCTGATGAAAAGTGTTACTGCCTTTTACATTTAAGATACTGGTAGATGGCTTCCACACCAGACAATCTTGATCAAACTAGAACCATGAGATCCATCTTGCCTAACTTCTGACATTTGTAATCACAGAATCACAGAAAAGTTGGTATTGGAAGAGACTTTCGGAGATCATCATGTCCAACCTCCCTGCCAAAACAGGCTCACCTAGAGCAGCCTATGTATCTGCACTTTGAAGTAGTTCTGAATAGTTCACACACTTGTGAAGTACAATTAAACTTAGTGCAACTCTGCCAAGGGATCAGGCCAGGCTGGATCAGTGGGCCAAGGCCAATTGTGTGAGGTTCCACCAGTGCTGGATCCTGCACTTGGGTCACAACAACCCCAGACAGTGCCACAGGCTGGGGGAAGGGCTGGAAAGCGGCCCAGCAGCAAAGGACCTGAGGGTGCTGGTCAACACCAACTGAACATGAGCCAGCAGAGTGCCCAGGTGGCCAAGAAAGCCAATGGCCTCTGGCCTGTGTCAAAAATAGTGTGGCCAGCAGAACAGGGAAGTGATTGTCCTTGTGTTGTGTGTCTGACGCATTGTCCTTTTTAGAAAAATTGGAGTGTAGCACCATCCTTACAAACTAATTCTATTTTTTAGTTTTTTAGCCTTCTCTTACTTTAGATTAATAGGAGTATAAATTTAGACAATTGAGATTATGGTGTGGAAAGGACATGCCCCTGTTCATGTTTATTTAAAATGGACAGGGTGAGGGATAAGGCAGTACTGCAGGAATGTTTCACACACAACTGAGCATCCCCTCCCCTCTTAACCACTCCAGGGAGGCATCACAGCCACGTGTGAGCATCAGGCTCCTGCACAGAGCTCAGCTCCTCACGTAATGGTTGAACCTTGGACGTGCCGCTCCTACACTGTCTCAGACATTCACGTCACCGCATCTCCCCCGTGCCGATCTCTGCTGGTGATTATAGCAGATGCCAGCACAGGCCACTAATCAGATCAGTCCACAATAAGATTGCTGTATGCCTTTCCAGCAGTCTCACATGTTTTTCTGTCAGCTGTTGATCCACAGCCCACGCAATGGAAAGAGTCAGTTCTTGTTTGTACCACCCTTTTTGCTACAGCCCACCACACTCAGCTAATTTATACCAAACTCAGCTCCTGGCCAAGGCGAGGCCTCAGTACTTGCACTTGGATCATTAGTTTAAAAGTAGCTTAAACTTTTATGGGTGTATCCGCCCATTGAACACAATGTGAACAGTAAAAGTTAATAAGATACAGCTAATTAACACGTCACCATCAGGGCGAAGTAAACTTGGTCCTTACAAAACAGGCTTTGACAATTCCATCATAATAGGCTGGTGTTTCAGCTAGACACAGGCTTAGCTAGGGAGCTTCAGGCCCACCCAATCATTCAGAATAGAACTCAAACTTTGCAAGGCTCTTCCACAGCCTTCTCGTTAAGCCATGTCACACATTGCAGGTGCCAGAGCGCAGTGGTTGTAGGGCAGGTGCCTTGTCCTTCAGCCCAAGGTGCATTAGAAGGGCTCTGCTGTCGCAGCCCCCACTCTCACTGATGGGGTCTGGTAGTGAGCTTGTGCTGCCAAGCATTCCAGGATCTTGCTCCTCACCAGCTATTCCTGCAGAGATGGAGCCAAATACAGGAAAACACACTGATTACACAGCAGCCAGATGCAGCAGGAACTGTGAGTCATTGATAATTACCCAAAGATGTCCCCTGCCAGCTGGTCCAGGGAGTTTTCTCAGGTAATACCCACCTCTGCAATCTCTTGGGATTCAGGAGGTGCTCTCTGCTCTTGCCTCAATGCTTCATGTAGGCTGTGGGCTGCTCATTGAAATACAATCCCTTTGGATGTACCAAGTTTCTGTGTACCTGGAAGGGGATTTGGACACTGAAACCTTGGATGGGTACTTGAGGCAGTGCTTTGGGTCATCCACTGAGCAGCACACACAGTGCCCTTTGCTATTACCATCTGTGGCATGGCTTCTGTACTCTCCCTCATTTCTGCATCCCAGGTGATTCCAGTATCCTTAGCCCATATTAGGTCTCAGCTAACCTAGTATTTCCACCTCTCCATCTGTTCACTTAGTAACTTTCATTCACTTTCCTGAATGTGACTGCATACATCCTTCCCTGCATGGTTTAACTTTTCTGCTCACTCAGCTGCCCTGGAGAGCATTCCCACTCCACCCAGCCCCGTTCCTAGGTCTCATCTCTGCCGTGTACTACACCAGAACAGCCATTAGAGGAAGGAAGGATGGTATTGAACATACTGGCACACAAAGGGAATGCATGCTCCACTGTTGGCCATGTGGGCAGCAGTGTCACATCACTTGAAGCTAAAGATTCAGGTGGTTTGGTGTGAACAGGGTATGATCTACTAGCAATAATTCACCATCCTAATCCCAGTTCCTAACAAGGATACTTAGAAACTTGGCTGGGGGACCTGAGCAACAGCTTTTAAAAAGCATTTGCCTGAGGGCAGGTTGTATCAGTGGATTCTGTCATGGACCAGTAATTGCATTGGGATGATCCAAACTACAGGGTAAACAACCCTCCACAGGTTTTGCTCAAATGGACATCATGTATGTAAGATGATACGCTGAATTGGCATCCATCTCTGTCTCCCTTTTCTCCTCTACAAACAGAATGTGAGCAACAACATTCCAGTTGTTATTCATAAGATTGTTGTCTCTATTTCTACATCTTTGGGTTTTTCCATACTCCCAGTGGGTTGCGGAATTGCCTGAGTTCATTAATCTTTATTTCCCTCCTGTTGGAGGCTGGGCACAACTGGGTACCTCCCACCAAACAAATCCTACATTTTGGCACACCCCCAGTGCCTTCCTGCTGACTGAATTTGACATTTCCCATTAATAGGTGCCCATAGGCAGGACTTTGGATCTATTAATCCAGCACTCTCATACATTCAAAGACCTGGTGAATAACTTCTGGGTTTTGCCTCCAGCGCTAGGATACAAGACTTAGCAACAGGCCATATTTGAATACCAGCTTTAGGGTGTCCTTGCAGGGCACATTTTACATGACACATAAGGTACCCTCCTTCTGTGTCTTGGTACCAAGGCAAACCCTAGTACAAATACCATCCCCTTCTTGGCACTAAGTCTGTTTGGGAATTTTTGCCACTGTGGCTTGTTAATCATATTAACTCCTCACCCACTGGCAGAGTCAGCTGAACTGATTTGAAAGAAGCCACACAAAGCACAGAGGAAATTCTTGTAAAACAAAGAACTCCTCTACCAGGATGCTGTCAGACCAACCTATCAATGAACTGGCACTGCCCTTTCCAGCAGCATTGTTCTGTCCATGGATCATACCGTGGCAAAATGAGGTGCTGTCTGCGCTGCTGGGCACAGCTCAGCCCATTCTGCCTGTTTGTGTGGCAGCCCTAGCCAAGGCCATGCCACGAGACTCCCCTGCCAGAGGGGCCCCAGCAAACAGCAGTTTTTACTGTATTACCTAACAAAACAGAGTGGTACAACAGCTTTTACCCGTGAAGCAACCATGGGAGCCATTCATCTGGAAAGAATTACTAGAGCCTCTAGAGACAGAAACAATATTTAGACAGCGAGGAACCTTTTAAAATAATTGTCTGCAGGTTCTACTGAACCATGAGCAACAACATCAGGTTATCAGCCTGTTGCAGGCAACACTATCCTGCTGTTGCTCAGCCTTAGTTTTATCTTTTTATTTTTCTGTGGGCATGAGGCCTTAAATTGAGGCCCACTGGTTTAACCATTTTATTTGCAGTTACTGTTTAAAAAAAAAAAAAATTGCTAAAGAACAGGTTCAGCTTTCCTCTGTTTTTTCTTTTTCAGCACGATCTGCTGAGAATTAAGATAGTCACAGATATGCCAGACCACATCTTTCAGCCACTACTCATCACATTGATATTCTCCATATTCTTCAGAACTTCTATTTTCATTTAATGAGAGTGGGCTACTCATGCCCTGCAAGCCTGACATACTTTCATCATAGATCATAGCTGGATCTTGTCTGCTATGGTTACTTAACTCTCTTCCAGTCGCTTCTGTGATTTTCCCCTCTGCATTCTTATCCCTAGCCAAATGCAAGCCAGGCTTATCAGGGTGGAGCACAGCTGCTTGCTTCAGGAATGCTTCAGAGCTACTTGAATATGGCCAGAAAATCAGCACAGGAGACCTTCAGTGCTAAAAGGTGCAGCATTTAGAATCAAGACCTGGAATTTGAAATGTTGCTGTGGCTTCATCAGGCAGGCAGTCTGCCAGCTAAAATGAAGTGTTACTGTTAGACACTGGGATTTTACTGGCTGTCTCTTGGCTTTTGTGTCTGTGGACTGTTCCTCATCTTCACATGGTGATAGTGACGGCTGCTTCACATCTCTGCTATATGTATGAGTGAGGGACTCTCCCACCAGAAAAACTGAAACTTCAGAGAGCTTTTCCTTCTCTTTTGGGAAAATAAAAAGTTACAATGCAGTTCCCTCAGTGGTCTCATTTTTGCATAGCAGGGCTCAGCACAGGCCTTGGCTTTTTTCTGTTACTACTGAAAGCATACACAAAATAAAATAAATTATCATTTAAAATATTCCTCTCTCAAAAACCCATCTGTTGTCAGTTAAGTGATTAGTAAGGCAGAAAGACTACTGAATGCAGACACACCTGACAGAGATGTCCAAGTTACTGACTAAAGCTCCAAAGTGCCCAGCCACCACTGGCAACAACACAGCTCTTTCACAGACCAGCCCAGACCTGTGGATGTTCTTTGAACCTTTACTGCTTGGCCCCTTCTTAACCTGCTGCCCCCTATCTCAGTGCCAGCTACCAGAATCCAAGAGCTCTGCAGGGTTTTGCCTGCCAGCTAAACCAGAGCCAGTCCTGGGGGGTCACCAGGAGCCCACACCACCAGCTGCCTGCAGGTTTTCTTTCATTCAGTTCTGATAAACTGCCCAGTTCTTGTGCTTTGCCCACAGACACCACAGACACTTTTGTCTGTGCTCTGCACCGTGTCCAGGGCCTAGTTCAGCCCCAAGGACAGAGCTGCAGCTGCCTTTCTTGCTGATTTTAGCTGCTATGTCCCCAAACAGCGTGATGCTAGGAGTTCTTTTTGCACTTGTTTTCCTCTCCTACACACACAAAAGGTGCCTAAAACTTACACAAGCAGTTACAACAAAACAAAGGACTCAGGCAGTGAGCCAAACTTTGTTTACTCCGAAGATAAGGCAGCAAAGTGTAACTGCTCAGAACTGTAAGAAGTTTCGCCCAGTAAGTCAATAAAGTGAAACTCAGATAATGCAAGTAAAGATTTTAAAGTAATTTTACCTTAAAAATAGTGAAAGTGTAGCTGTTACATGTTCCTAAACTTCTACACAAACTCAGAAAATATTTGTTTTGGTCAAAACAGTTTTCTCTTTTTTTCTTTTTTTTTTTCTTTTCTTTTTTAATTTTTCTTTTTTACTGACTTCACATGGCATGGCTCAGTTACATCACATCATTATTCACATAATGCTGCCTTAAATCAGTAAGAGAGATGACCAAGAGAAGCAGCAGCTGCTTGCTCTGTATTTGTTGATAAAAAATAGATCCTTCTCCCCACAGACTGGGTCCAGATCTAGTTCCAACCTTTGAACTCAGTCTGATTTTGTCTCCTACATCTCCAGCAGTTTGTAAGTTACACACTTGCAAATATGACTTGCCTTTATTCCAAACTGTTATTGGGGGCTGTTATCTTCCCATCATTAGAAACCAGCTCTGAACTGGAACACAAGGGCTGAAAAGGGAATTCCTAAGCAGTGAGAATGGAATTTTTTCAGATGGGGATAGAAAAACAGTTAATGTTTCTTGACAGTACTGGCTTCATTCATAAACACATCTCATTGCCTACCAAGGTTTATGTAGCTGTCTCATTTAACTGAGCAAATTAAACAGTCACATATTTGCTGTTACAAGGTTGTCTAAGATACTCATTAATCTGCTCAAGGTGAGGTGATAGCTCACCTCTTATTTCCAGATTTTTGTTGCCTTTCCTGAAAAGCTGAAGACTAGATGTAGATTCATAAATACACACAGAACTATTATGGCTGAGCTTTAGTAAACAGCTCAAGACATTCTGAAATGGAGAAAAATAGATTATTTTCTCACAGAAACTCAAAATAATTTTTTTTGTTTCTCACTGAAAAGCAATCCTTGTTTCTGGACAAACCTTTCCCCCCTCCCCACTAATAATCTCAAGGAACTAGACTTATTAAATGAATAAATACATAAACAAACAAACAAACAAACAAACAAATAAATGACTTAAAATATGCAAGGAAGTGTATTTCTATAAAATGCTTCTTAAAGATCTCAGGGATAGTGACATTTTAGTGACCATTGAAGAATGTTTCAAAGCCATTTCAAGCACTGGATCACAAGTGCTGTTTCCAAGAAACTTAATGGTAGGAATTTGGATTACAAAAATTTGAGCAGTAATTTATTTACTATAGCTTGCAATAAGTGAATAATTAAGTTTTGTGAATCTCAACAACTGTAAAGAGTTTGGACATATACAGGGCTGAAAAATGAGTGAGTTGTACTGGAGTATACCACATTTGCAAAGGACACAGGATGACAGGATTTGCACCCCATGGGGAATGTCACACATCACTTTGTCTTCTCTGCCTGGCAAAATCCCGAGCACATAATTCCCAGCACCTGCCGGCCCCAGAACACATTATGTTTGCTTTCCCTGTTACATCTATTCCTAAGGCCAGCCTCACATGTGGTTTTCAAATCACAGAACATATCTGGCTGTACTGGTGATGAAGATCCAGCTCTATTGCTGGGAATATTCAGTGTGCCCAGCTGGCCAAGAAGGTCAGTGTTATCCTGGCCTGTATCAGGAGTAGCGTGGCCAGCAGGGCCAGGGCAGGGATTGTCCCCCTGTACTCGGCACTGCTGAGGCCACAGCTCAAGTGCTGTGTCCAGTTGTGGGCCCCTCACTGCAAGAAGGACATTGGGGTGCTGGAGAGGTTCCAGAGAAGGGCAATGGAAATGGGGAAAGGTCTGGAACACAAATCCTGTGAGGAGAAGCCGAGGGAATTGGAGGTGTTTAGCCTGAAGAAAAGGGAGGGTCGGGGGTAACCTTGTCACTTTCTACATCTCCTGAAAGGAGGATGTAGCCAGGCCGGGATCGGCATCTCCTCCCAAGTAACCAGTGATAGGACAAAAGGACATAGTCATAAACCGTACCAGGGAATGTAGAAGTTGGACATTAGGAGGAATTTCTTCACAGAAAGGGTGAATGAGCATTGGAATGGGCCGCCCATGGATGTGGTGGAGTCACCATCCCTGGAGACACTTAAGGAGAGACTGGACATGGCACTGAGAGGCACTGAGCGCCATGGTCTAGTTGATATGGGGGTGCTCGATCACAGGTTGGACTCGATGATCTCGGAAGGTTTTCCCAACCTAACTGATTCTGGGGTTAGCCCCGGTACGTCTCTACACTTCCCGGCTCCCCTGCTGCCCGAGGTCGGAGGCGCCCAGCAGGGCCCGCGGCGCAGAGCGGGAGGAGGAGNAGGACTTTCCTTGAGTGAAGCTCTGTCATTGTATTCTCACATGGCTATAGTCCATGCCACTACAAATAGGGGCCTAAGGTATGCTATCTGTTTTTTAGCACCAGCATATATTTCTTCATGTTACCCTAAATAAAATCACTTAAAACTTATTTTAAAGGAGAGAAGATTAGGAAAATAATTATTCCTAAATAGTCTAGTCTGTTAATGTCACAACATGAAATAGTTTTATATCATTTTTCAGAGGTTTACTGTATAGAGAGTGGTTCATACTTGTCCATGCATTATTATAGGAAACCCTCTTTTTTGGATAAAGGCTGGATAAGTCAAAGTATTTCTTTTCCTTTTGTTTTATAGAGCCTTTTAAACCTTCTTTTCCCAGTTCATCCATACTCATTTCAGAGTAATGGTGGAATTACGAAAGTGGAATTGCCTAAGATGTGAGGCAGTATTACAGCTTGTCTCTCAATGTCAATTGTGTAATAGTGCAGAAATATTATCTGTTCTTTTTCCTGCAAAAACATACTAAGACAATTTTTTTTTTCTTTGTCCAAAGATAAAATCTTAGAGATGAATGTGCTAACAGACATCCTGATTTCTGAAGACATTGTGATTCTCTTTATTACTGTATTTTAAGCAGTTTCAAAGGTGTTTCTTTGGGATAATGCAGTTACAAAATGTTTGGAAGCTAATTCTGGCATTGAATTCCATACTATTTTGTATGCATTATTTTCTCAACATACCCTGAAGCTGTGATGTTTAGTGTGAATGAGCAACTCAGCTGCATTACTTCATTTAGTCTGTGTACTGTATTTCCTTCTGAATTGCCCAAGAGTGGAGAGTTGTTGGCAACTATATTGAACGAACAATGGTCTTTCACAAAAATGGAATTCTTCAGCTCTACCATTACTTTATATGCAGTCTTTCTGTATTCTCAGGTCTAAGAAGCTTTGAGTTTTGTGAAAAATAAAAATTGGAAGGCACAGGAACAATCTCTTAGGGGAATTTCTGAAGGAAGCGCTTATTTGGAGGGGCTTGTTTGTTAAAAGTACTTCTATAGGAATGCCTACAGAATAGGAATATAGTTTTGATGAAAATTCAATTCCATCCAAGAGTGTTTCAGAATGACTGATCAAATGTAAAGATCCCCATAATAGGTATGTAGTTTTACAGTAGGTATTAGTTTCCTACTGTAAAACTGTTAATTTTAAGTTTACAGTATTATCTACAAGAAAGAAGACTTATCTCCCAAAAAGAATCTGTTTGATTTAGCTGTGTCTTCTCTCTTCCAGCTTTCTATGTTACAGGCAAGTTTTTAATACTCCTCGTGATTGGCCCTACCCACCTCTATATTTGACTGTTGTGGGCAGATGACTTTCAACTACTCTTCGGATATTCTTCCCTTTAAAATAATTACTCATTTCAGGAATTAGGCTCGTTGCATTTAAGAATAATAGTTTGTCAGATGTAAATCACAGAATGGCTGGTGTTGGAAGGGACCTTAGAAATCACCTAGGTCCAAACCCCCTTATATCAGGTTGTTCAATCATTTCTAGGTTTCTAAGCTAGGAATGGTTGCTGCTGAAGTACAGATTCCAGTAGGCATGCTACTTCCAAAACAGTAAAATAAAATTGATTCATTGAGTACAGTAGATGATTATTTAGAGGGGCATTCCAGCTATTTTCTGCTATTTTTCTCTTCTTATTTTTTAACCCAAAATATCAAGAAAATAAATGTAGTTTGGGAGTTCTTAGATCAAACTGGTTGATACATCTGCTGATCTTCCTCTGATTCCTTAGACAATTGACAATAATCCAAAAATGTTGTGAATTTTGTGAGTTTTAAACTACATTTAAATTAGCTATTTAAGCTATTAAATTTTTTTACTAGCTTTTCCATAATGGTGTCAAAATTATAGGAATTTGCAGAATAAAGTGACATTGTTAGGAGTTGTCTGGTGATGGTTCGAATCTGCGATTCGCTCAAATTCTTAGTGTGTCCTACCTCATATTACTAAGTATACTTCAAGTTATGACATGGTGTGGCCTTCTGAGGCGTCATGTATTTCTAATGCGCACATTTTTTCGAAATTGGCATTTAGAAATTAAAACTCTTGTTTTTAATGTGCTAGTTAGCTGAAGGCCTTCATTTGCCTCACAGCAAATGTAGGTAGTTCTTCAGAAAACCAGTTCCAGTTCTTAAGTGGTACTTACGGATTTCTTTAAATTGCCTTCAATCTGACCTTGAAAAACAGCATAACAGAATACTTTTAAAAATATTTGCAAAAATGAGCAAATATTTACCAAAGCATTGGCACAGAAATACATTTGCCAAAGCCTGATTACATGTTAGCTTTCCCTTCTCATCAGTTTTTTATAATGTTTTTTCTGC